ATGCCAAACACCAGCAGGGTCACCAATAGAGGACATGTTTCAATGGAATATCCTGTCTAAGAAGGACTAGAAAGACAGGACTGATAATCTACTTCCAAAAAGTAGCCAACACAAGCCCTAAGAATAACAACAGAACATTGGCCGATACTGAGCTGGAAATGAGCTTCCTTGGAAGATAGATAGTATAAGATTCAAAAATGCTGGTGATTGTGAGGGTGCTGTGGGACAGGGTAACATTTCATTCTTTTGTACGTGGGGTTGCCGTATGTTGGAGGGGAGGTGACCCAACAAAAACTAACACAACAACATACATGATAAGAGTAATAACACAGAAACCAAGACCTGGAATTTTGGAGAGAGGAAGCAAATATGCAAGCCATGAGTGGCCGATGTTGTAACTGTAACCCAGCCTTGGTGAAGAGTCCCATGCAAACAGACAGCACAGATCTCTGCCTGTGCTTTAAATCAAGTTTCTCCTAAATTAAGTTACCAAAAAATCTTAAAAGCCTAAGCAAGCACATCAAATTAAGCTATCAGAAAGAAAAATATGGTCATAAAGTTGTCCACAGGGATTATGTCAGAATAAAAAAGGATCTAAAAAGACCGAGAACTATTATTAGATCTGACCAGGGGGGCATGAGACAAGAAGTGTTCAGGTTGATTTTTCTATAATACCCGCCCAACTAGTAACTGATACCTGAAAAACATCCCTGGTCCCTGAGACTGGAACCTATTCTTTGCCTTTCCTCCCACAGAGCTAGCACACAATCATGTTCCAATTGTTACAGTGAATAAAAACACCCAAATGCTTCAAATGCAGACAATATTGAATAGAGGTGTATACTTTCTTAGCTTTTCCCTTGGATCTGGAAACATTTTCACTGTCATCAATCACGTTCTCAGGTGCTAGTAACTTTGATGGGATTTTTGCACACCAAATCAAGCTAGTTACATAAGCATCTGACACTGACACTGAAGACTGATATGAAACTACAGAACCTGATGCTGAAGGTTGATATGAAGCTACAGAACCTGTGGTAGAAGGCTTGTGGAGCTGTCCCTCAGCACTATGGTTGGACACTCCCACACCAAGGGAGGGCAGTTTGCCCACTTGGTCCTGTCTGCTTTCTCCAGTTCCTAAGATTACCAAATATGGTTTGTGATACAATCATTAGTCATCCTGGGAGAAGTAGAGAATGGGGAAAACTGGGAACTATAGGAAGACAAGGAGCAGCTTTGGGCCCCAAGAAGAAAACAAACACAAAGCCTCATAGGATATGGTAGGGGTCATGAGCTATTCAGTGTTAATTTTTGTATCCCCAGTGCCTCATGTAGCCCCTGTACACACAGAAGGTACTGAGTAGTTCTGTGTTCAACTGAACTAATGTTTGGAAGATCTAAGTTACACTTGAGGTCTTGGAGGATAGTATCTCATTGTTCTCATCTAAAAAATGAATATGATGTGGTGGCTTCTTGGCCACAGCCAGCTACCCTGAGGGAGCAATACTTGGACCTGTAGGCTTGGGACTATAGTCACAGGGGACATCAAGCTCAATTGGTATAATATACTACACAAAAACATTGTTCTATATTCTACTTTGGTGGCATAGTACCTAAGGCATTTGACTACTAATCAGAAGGCTGCCAGTTCAAACCCACCAGCCACTCCTCAGAAGGAAGACTGGGCAATCTACCTCCGTAGAAATACCGCCTTAGAAACCCAAGGAGGGGTCACTATGAGTTGGAACCGACTCAATGGCAGTGAGTTGTTGTTGTTGTTGTTGTTTTATATCTACTTTGGTAAGTAGCAACTAGGGTCTTAAAAAGCTTACAAATGGCCATCTATATGCAATGCTAGGTCTCCTCTCATCGAAAACAAAGAATGAAGAAAACCAAAGATGCAGGGAAGGAATTAATCCAAGGGACTGGCAGACCATGTGATTCTCTGCTTATATGACAATGAGACCAGAACTAAATGGTGCCTGGCTACCACTGTCAACCACTTGGAGGGGGATCAGTGCAAGAGATCATGGATAGACAAGGAGAACAATGTGGAACAAAACTCAAAATCATAAAAACAACCAGGTTTTTTGGTCTGACAGAGCCTGGTGAGACCCCTGAGACTATGGCCCCTAGTTAGCCTTCAAGTCTGGAACTGAACTCATTCCTGTGGCTTCCAGCCAAACAACAGACAGGCATATGGGATGAACATTTACATCAGGTAGATACACTTCTTAGAATAATCAATCATGGGAGAATAGAAGGGCAGTTTGTACAGGGAGACAGCTGGGGGGTGGGAGTGCATGGGAGGGGAGGACACAGGTAAGAAGTAACTACAGGGAGGAAGTGGGAAGACAGCTGTTATACTGTGGAGAATTACAGTCAATGTCATGAAACAAAATGTGTATGAAATGCTTTCTGGAAAATGGATTTGCTCTGTAAACTTTCACCCAAATCACAATAAAAATTAAAGAAAGAAATACCAGTGGCATAGCTTCCAGAATCACAGCCATACACAAGCCAGCACAGTACCACAAACGGACAGGTGGGTGGTGGTTTGAACATATTCCCTACCCCACCCCACCCCACACACAAAGAATATGACCTCTCTTTTGGTAGGGTCATTAAAAGGTTAAACAGAGAGATCTGTGTGTTTTGAAAGATATTTGACAAAATATTCAGTGCTAATCAAATACTAGAATTATTGAGTCTCAATCCAGCAGCTGATTTTCAGGGTTGCTGTGAAATGGTCCTATGACTTCTGCTTTCCTGTCTGCGCCTCCAGGTCCTTTCTCTCTGGCATGTTCCTTTCTTCCTCTCAGAATCTCATTCTACTACTTCCTGCAGTTCCAGTGGTTCCCCTATCCCCAGCACTGGCATTAAGACCTCTCTAACAGAGTGATACCAGTTGATGCTAAGAAAGTTACTTCTTCTAAACCTGTGACACTAGGGTTTTCCCCTCAGACTAAGACTTGCTGACAAAGAGTCCCTTATAGGGTTAATTTTACTACTATACTTGACTTGGGTGCTCTGGTAGCATAGTGCCTAAGGCACTTGACTGCTATCCAGAAGGCTGGAGGTTCAAACCCACCAATCACTCCTCAGAAAAAAGGTTGGGCAATCTAGTTCCATAGTGACACTGCCTCAGAAACCCAAAGAGGGGTTGCTATGAGTTGGGTCCAACTGGATGACACAGAACAACAACAAACTTGACTTAAAGCCTCAGACCAAGGCCTTCTGTTTAAGGCCAGTTCTGACTGGTGGTTCCTTATCTCCCCAGCCTGTCTGCCTACTTGAATAGGTTCTAAGGGTTTGACTCTAACAGGATGAACTCCAAGTATAGTCTATTCCATTTTCTAAATTCTTAGAAACTGGAAAACCTATTTGTTTGTGTTTTATTTTTCTGAGACTCAGAGGCTGTATTTAAACGTTATATAGGTCCCCTTCTTATGAAATTGCAGGTGTAAATTTCCAAGAACAACAATATCCATGAGGGTCAAGGGCACTTAGCACAGTGACACTGGTACTGAGCACTGTTATAGTCTACTGTTACACTCTACCATCTTGTGGAAGAGTCCCATGAAATCACGCAAGATTGCCTGCAGTCTATATTAACCACTGTGTTAAACAGAAACTAGTTATGAATCTGACAAATATTGCTGATCTTTATTCAAAACCTGCATTTTATTGCTGTGAGAGAGTCAGGGTTGGCAGGAATTATCTGGCAAATTAGATAATAACTGAGTGCTATGAAACAGGACTGTGGTCTGGCTTCTCTTCTTCATTTGAATGGATGATGTGAGGTCCTCCTACATGCTCTGGAGGTCCCCCCGACTCCGTCATGGAGAACATAACAGTGGCAAGTCCTCTCATGAGCTGATGACAAGGTGTGACTGCCATAAGTCAGGAGTGGCCTCAGACAACTGTCTTTCTCTGATGCGAGAAAAAAGGGCTCAATAGCTATTCCTGTAAACCTACACTAAAGCTAAAGAGAATTATTTGTGTTTGGGCCCACCAAAATTTAATGAGTTTATATCTAATAATCCAAAACTGTGGATTTAACTATTTAGGAGAATATTTTGAAATGTATGTTTCCAGGTTGATTTATGGGAAAGCTAATATTGCTTAAAAGTGCTCAGTTCATAGGGGCACTACTGACATTTGTCTATGGCTGTGCAGGGTCACCATGAGTCTCATTTTGAAAACTGTTTAACTTAAAAACAATTCACATTAGCTTTAGAGTTCCAAAGCAGATGTAAACCTCTTTTCTACAAATAGGGCTGGCACTGTGGGCAGCACACTGATGGGTAGCTTTCTCCAGAGTGCGCTCCAAGGATCCTGTCCCCACACAGATCTGCACAGCTCCAACCAGCCATCAGAATCTCAGAGCATGGGACACAGAAATCGACTTAACAGATTCCTCGGTGATTATCTGTAGGTAGCAAAGTCTAGAACTGTTTCAAGGAAATGCAAGGCTTTCTCCATTCTCACTCTCAGCTCTCTAACATCCGTCCCTTAAGGAAGAAGAGCCGACGTGGATTAAGGCGGGTACTCAATAAATATTTGTTGAATTACAAAATGGACTGTGTAAGGATATTACCTCTCCCATTTTCCTTAAGCTGCCAGAAAGCTAGAAGTCACACTTACTCGATTGTAAATTCTGTAGGCCTTCATGGCTTGTATTTTTAAGCTCTTTTTTTCTCTCAGTCCTAAATTTTTACTCTTATATTCTCCCCAGTTCTAATTCTTACCTTTTATTGATTTACTGCCATTATTTTGTTTTATGATTTTTATAAACACTCTCAAATCCTTTGTGGAATAAGATGAGATATGAATAAATAAACACAGTTATGTCCAGATACAAATCAAAGTACTTGCATCCTGCCATGTTCCTTCCCCTACTAAGATCCTGCCACAGAGACTGGACAGCATGCTTCCATTCTAGCTTTTGCCTAGGACTCATTCCTCAGGGTGCTTCATAAAAGGACCAGCAGCCTTACTTGTGTCCTTGAAGCTCGATGGCTGTTCCTTTTCTCCCCCCGATGTCCCACATGATGACAGAGTGATCAGAACTGCCCGAGAAGAGCACTCGCTGGACTGGGTCCCAACATAGAGCAGTCACCCCACCTAAGAGGACAAAAACAGCTGGACATTAGTCACAAAGTAACAATGTTATTCACAAAACAAATGTTGCAAAGGATTTAGGATCTAGTGTGGTTCCTAGCATACAGTAAATTTTTGTTCAAAGAACAAATGAATCCTAAGAGAAAAAAATTGACACCAAGAATAAAAATTCTAACCCTTAAGCATTTTCTCCAAAATTTAATGTACCATAAAATCAGTTACTATAAAGACCAAAGGGAAATTTTAAAAAGGCAATTAATTGACTTTCAAACAACAGTCATAATACTAAGAAGAACAGAAAATAATGCACTGTTTAGAAATATTAATTTTTTTTTAAACTGTATTTTCCTAACTGTTGCCCACTTCTGACAGTAACAGATAAGAAGTAAATGGGGCTTAAAAAGCTCAATTAGACTTTTAATGCTTAAACCTCAGATACAATCAGATTGCAATTTCAAAATTTAAAATTTATTTTCTCTCTTTAGGATTTAAATTTTTAGATTCTGAGCAAATCACTTACACCTTTAACTGTTAGTTTCATCAATTATACAATGAAGATGATGGTAATATTACTACTATTAGTAGTAATAGGAGCTCTGGTGGCACAGTACCTAAGACATTCGACTGCTAACCAGAAGGCTGGCAGTTCAAATCCACCAGCCACTCTGCAGAAGGAAGATGCAGCAATTCTGTAAAGATTTACCACCCTGGAAACCCAATGGGGGTCCCTTTAAGTAAGAATCGACTCGACAGCAGTGAGTTTGGAGAATTACTAGTAATGATATGAACCTAACCATCACCTACTTCACAAGGTTGGATTAGATAAACTATTACGACAGATTTTCTTCTGTGGCAGTGTCCTTATAAATGAAACTCCTTGTGTACTGAAAACAGTAATAACTCTTCCCATATAAAGATCATCACAAAATCTACAGATATGTAAGAATGTAAGAAATACTTTGTAAATTACTGAAAAATACTGTATTCTATAAAAGACATAAAATAGTGTCTTATTTGTTGGAATCTGACATTTTTAAAATGCAGATTATCAATTTGTTCTAATGAAGTACTATACTTTAAAATCTTTTAGGAAGGTTTCCCACAAGTAATTGTCCAGAAGATTTCCTTTTTAAGATCACAAGGAGGAAAAAAAAGAAAAACCTATTCTGGATTATGCTTAATAGCGTCTTCCTGTATCTGTACAGCATTCTGCTTACACACACTCCTGTCCATGTAAGAATAAACACAATTTCCCCCTGTGGACATGTGGACAACCACCCCCACACCTCCTCTTCCCTGACCCCACTCCCCCATGGTGGCAGCCAAGCAAGGTGCCTGGTACAGGGAAACTCAGTGTTGTCCGTTGAATGAATGAATCAGCAGCTAAGTGAGAATACAAAAATATTATTTTTTCTCAACAAATCTTGTTATTTGGAAATCCTTTGCAATGCATACTTAGCCCTTGAAAGCCAAGTATCTTCTCTTTCTGTACAACTTATCTTCTTTCCCTGCTATTAAACTCCAAGATTGGTACATATGGTAGTTAAGGTTACGTTATCAACTTGGCTGGGCCTGGTTTTGAGTGGCTGCGCAGCTGATTGTAGTTATTTCCCATGGTGAGACTGGCCATCAACTCCATGGTGGAATCTGCCGTGAGCAGCTGCTTTAGGAATGTTGTCTGCTTCCAGTATATAAGGAGAAGCTTTGGGAATGGTCTGCAACTTTTTGGCACACTTGGACCCTGTGTTGCAGCCTGCCAAGCCCTTTGATAATACTGGGGCTGTACTTTTCCAGTTGTTGACCTTGGGTTTGTCAGCCTCAGTAGATAACAGCTGCCTGAGTTAAGAAAAGCCTCGAGAGAGCAGTTGCATTGTAGAAGATTACAGTCAATGTCTTAAGACAAAGTGTATGTGAACTGCTGTATGGAAGATGAATTTGCTCTGTAAACTTTCACCCGAATCACAATAAAATTTAAAAAAGAAAAGAAAAGCCTCCTGCTTCAGTGGGCCAGGAGCAAGAGGCAGAGCTACAGTCCAAGGTTGAGGGGCTTTCACCCGGCCCCTAGAGCTGGCACTTTTAACTCGGACTTCCAGCCTCCTAAACTGTAGGAGAATAAACTCCTGTTTGTTAAGGCCATCCACCTGTGGTATTCCTGTCAGAACCAGCACTAGAGGGAACCAAAGCAGTATGCTTGGTAAAGTAGAGGGTGAGTGAAAAAGGCCAAGAGCCTCAACAAGATGCAACGACACAGGGCTGCAAGGATGGGCTCCAAACAGAGCAACGAGTGTGAGGGTGGAGCAGGACTGGGCAGCTTGATTCTCTTGTATGACACCCAGATGGCAACTAACAACAACAACAAACTACAAGATTATAGCTTTTGATTGTTTCTTTTTAAACTACCTTTCAGTATTTGAGAATACAATACTTTAGGATATGCATTTCAAGTTGCAAAACATGTTATTTATTCCCACACAGTACCCAAGGGCTGTGTTGAATACCCAGGGCTAACTTAGCTAATTAGCCACCTGAAGTCATACTCCACACATTCATTATACACATCTTTCCCTGGGAAGCTGTTGCCCTGCAGGGACTACATTTACCACCCCTCTTGTATAGCAGAGGGTATGTGACCAGTTCTCAAGAAGCAAGAGAACACAGAACATAGGTAGAAGTGAAATGCATCCATTCTGGACCAAAGCCATTAGGAAGCAGATGGTCCTTTTCCACTTTCTCTTTACACTTCCTTCTAGAGGATTCCAAAATCCCAGACCATGAGAATCCACACACTGGAAGGAGTCTGGGTTCTTAAATCACTACATGGAAGAAAAAAAAGGCATAAATCAAGAATGTCCACCCTGGACTTTACATGAATAAGAAATAAACTTTTGCTGCACTAAGTCACTGAAACATTTTTTTATTATTTATTTGTTAGAGCAGTGAGCATTACCTTAATTACTATAATACCATTTATTTAGAATACCAATATTGGAATATTATAATGAGACTGGTCCAAGAGGAACGTGTCATCAAGAGCTTCATAAACATCAAACAAGAAAAAAGAAGTTACTAGTTTGGGCTATTAATACTGATGCCTAATATGTAAAAAGAACTGGAAAAAACTATGAGGGTTCCCACTGGTCACATCTGAGACAATTTCAGCAACAAAATAAATAATGATAGTAATGAATCCCTGCTCACTGAAATAAGTAAGAACCCATAGGTCTGCATTGTATAAACAACTGAATAAATAGGAGAGAAGTAAAAGCTTTTCTTTATAGTAGAATTCCAGCCAGTAAGTGCAGTAGGGATGTTGTTGTTGTTAAGTGCCGTCGAGTCGTTTCCAACTCATAGCGACCCCATGCA